TTTATTCATTTACAATAAACTCATAAAGTACATCATTCTGATTGAAGCTAAGGGCACACAAAACTATCTAACATTGGTAACTATATTGTTCTTCCCTATCAACAACTTCTGCAGCATTAGAAGAGGTTTTTGCATGCTCCCCATTGGCTCTGTCTCTTCCAAAGATGATAGAAAGTTCATCAATAAAGGAAAAATGCTTATTCCTTAATCCTCTGGCATATGGATGGCTCTACATTTATCAAAACAAAAATATATTAATAAATTAGATGTCATGTAAAACAGATGTATACATTTGTCTAAAATATAAAATACAATAATCCACAATTACCTTAACCCACCCATTGAAGACACATTCTAGTTTGAGCCAACATCATTAAACCTCCAACCAATTTTTCATCATTTGCTTTTGTCCAAACTCTATTTTGCCTATTTGGTTATTTCTTCTCCTTATCCTTCCTAACCATTTCTAATAACAAGTAATGGATAGACACAATGAAGGCATAGACAAATAAGTAAACAGTTGTTACAAATAACTCACATGTTATCTATTTCTAATAACAAATAATAGATGAACACAAGGAATGAGGACATAAATAAGTGAACAATTGTTACAAACAATTCAAATTTGATTGAAAAACACATAAAATTAAAATATATTATTCTCATAATAGCCATAATAAAGATCTAGTACATTTTATATAATAGCTTGAATAAGAAATTGCATTACTTAATGTATAAATTGTTGCCACATCTGATTTGCCAAGTTGTCTCTGAATGCAGCCCATTCACTGCTACTCTCTAGACTTGTGATTTGTTCATCAACCTCTGCTACACTTTGTGAACCTCCTTCAATGGTTGAGAAATTTTCAATTCCTGGTCCAATGGGGTCAATCGACGTATCTTTCCTTATGTAGTTGTGTAAGAGGCAACATGCACTAATGATCCTACACCATGTCTTTATTGGATACCAAGTTGAGGTCCTAAGTATTGCCCACCTTATTCTTAAGATGCCAAATGTCCTCTCAATTACATTCCTAACTACAGAATGCCTCATGTTGAATATCTCAGCTGGGGTGCTCAGTTGGTGCCCTTGCCTCCACTCATTTAGGTGATATCTTTGACTCTATAAGGTGTTAAGAATCCCTCACTATTGGGGAGTTTCTTAAACATCAGTATTATAATTTTTTTCTCTAGTGTCCTAACTCTCATGGTTCATTTTTTACCTTGTGGTACTTTTAAGCCATTTCTCCTTGAAATGGCATCATGAAAGACTCTAATGTCATGAGCAGATCCCTCCCAACCGAGTAAGATGTAAATGAACTGCATATCTGGATAGCAAACACCTAATACATTTGTTGCAATTTCATTCTTCCTCGTTCGATATCTAGGCTTATCCTTTTCAGACACTTGGATCCTAATATATGTTCCATCTAAAGCCCATAAACGATCCCATACAATAAAATAAGAGAGATAAAATTAAAAATTCTAACCTTTAAAGGTTTGTTATTTGTGATAAAAAAGAAAAATAAATAAAAAACGGGCACACCTTGAATCACTTCCATTTCTCATCAATTAAGTTTGCAGGCATAGGTTAAGGAGGATTTCATGTAGGCGTAACACTGCATTCAATACCATATTGAAGTACTTGCTTAATATAGACCCAAACCTCCTAAAATGCCATTTTTGTTCCCTAATCTTGACATCATGTGATAGAATGTTTAAGAAACATGCAACCATTTCTTCCACTCTCACATGTTTACTACCTCTTAATTTTCCTACACTCCTTAGTAACTCACATAGCATCAAATAACTAGTCATATCCATTCATATATGGTCTATACATGATTAATCAGATTTCATGACAATAGAATTAAGGTTTGAAAACCTAATTGCAAGCCTTTCCTCCTACCAATTCCCTCTTCATCATAATTACTCAATATCCTAGAGACCATCAGCATTCTCCTCCTGATTGCAATGATAATAGCAACCAAAATACATAAATAAGCATGCTACATCATCATTTCATAATGAATAGAAATAGCAATTGCAGCCAACTTTTTTTTTATTCCTATTTAGTGGTGATCGATGCATGTCTCTACAAAACATCATCACATTCAATTGCATAAAATATAGTGATGATCAAGGCATGTTTTTCAAATTAGACATGCAAGAAATTATTAGAATAAAAACAACTTAAGATGGACAGAAATTCAAACTAGTTGAATTAGTTTGGAGATATATGTGCCAAAAAAATTCAAAAAAATGCATAAATGCTTCCAAATTTTCTAAAGTAAATTGCAAAGCAACTCAAATTGAAGCTAAAACACATTGAACTATGCTTCCTAGTAGTTCATTTTCTTTTTCAAAATATAACTTTGTTCTGGAGCAAAAAAATCAACTAACTTGTATACTATGTATGATCAAAATGGTAATTTCATGCTTCCTAGTATCAAATAAAATGGTAATCTCATGCAACTATGCTGGAAATAACAACTGAGAACTAAATAATATTTCATCAAACAAAGTAAAAAATCAGAAGAAAAAAAAAGAATTGGACAGATTTCTCATGGATGATCGAATATGGCTCTAGGACTCCCAATTTCACACCAATAAAATCCATTTGTTCTTATATGGTTTCCTGAATTTGAAACCATATATATAACTAAATTCAGAAAGGTATTGAATTGGAATTCAGGTTTTTGTGATAGCTCTTTCCTCAATTTTCTTTGTTGATTGCGTAGAATGGAGAGAGAGAGAGAGGAGGCATGGGAGGGGACTGGGAAGAATGGAGGTGTGTGACGCTTCAGCAAGTGAATCTCCGCTGCAGGGAGGAGGAGGAGATATGGTAGAAGGGATGGTGGATTATAAAGGTCATTGGGTTAACAGATCCAAGAGCGGCGGTTGTGAGATTTTTATCGTTCATCATAGGTGAGTTCTTTTCTTAATTAATTTTCTTTTTTGGTTTGCTTAATTGATACTTCAGTCTTTGAGGATATAAGATTTGGAAGATGGACCGCAGGAGTGGAGATGGCAGAGAGATTTGCTTACTACAGACAAGCCCTCAAATAACTGAATATGAATCAGATCCTAGTTTACAGTTCTTTGCAAGGAAAAAAAATAAGGGGAATAAGAAGACTAATCTATGGACTCAATAAAAGATTCTTCCACGAATCACAGAGGTATGGGGTTTTCCTTGGTGGTGGATGTTCTTACTGAATAAGAGGTTTGGGAAAGAGGTTAATGTTTGCCCTAAGCTTATTAACAGGGGTATTTTTCAACTGCAAAATCACTCCATGATGGAAGAGTAACTTATTCACCTCTAAGGTGGATAAGATTTTCCCAAATAAATGACCAAAATACTTACCCGGGGAAATCTATATTTTCCACGGACCCCACATATACTTGCAAAAGATCATGGGAAAGTTAACCAACTTTCCCATTGACCAACTTTCCTACCCCAACATAGGGGTAAATGAACGGGCCTATATTTAAATTAAATTGGGATCCCAAAATCACATAGTCAAAATCTGACTTAAAATGTCAAAATCCTGGTAATGTATGCAACAATTTTACTAGGTCGATGGCCAAGAGATTTCTCAAGGCCCTTAATTGTTTATTTTTAATTCAATTATTCATAAACAGCAATAAAAAAATTGAAATTGAGTCCTTTTTTTTTTTTTTGAAGCAGAACTTGTTCACATTCCCTCTTAAAAATTGTAATTCAATTATTTAACTCTAATATCGGTCAGAGAGGAGCAGCAGGATATACTGGAGGCTGGTCCGCAGAATATACTGGATCATGAGTAGGTGGAGGTTTCCTGTAAATCCTGTAAGGATCACGATAACTGATCTTCTCACGACGCCTCAGCTCCAAGTCTAGAAGCCGTGGATCATGATGCTCAATGTGAACATCCCTCCTGTAATATTCGGCATCTGAATGAAGGCCTCAGCTCCAAGTCCAGAAGCCGTGGATCATGATGCTCGATGCGAACATCCCTCCTATAACACTCGACATCCTAAGGCCTCTCATGGGCATACATGGACTCATGATGGGTATCTCTCGATTCAGTCTGGACGACAACAAGGATATCTGAAGTTCCGAACCTACCAAAAAAAGAAATATGAGAAAAACCCAGCTTGCAATTTTCGTGCGTTCCCCAACCACAGCTCGTTTGAAAATTATATGCTCAGCTCCCGCATTCTTCTGGTCTTTTTGTTTTTTCAGCACTTCACCACAATCCCATTACACCCCAAAAGCACGAAATTTGCTTTTCCTTTTAAATCAGTGTACCACATTCAAACAATTCAACCAAGTCCATGCCCACATCATAACCTCAGGTTTCCAACACAACCAGTTCTTGATTGGAAAGCTTGTAGAGATGGCGTCCATCAAGTTCCAACAAAACAACATGACCCGTTCCGTGCTAATTTTCACCCATGCTCACAAGCCGAACCAGTTCACATGGAATACCATTATAAGAGGTCTCTCCATTAGCAACACTCCACAACGTGCTATTTTCATTTTCGTGCAAATGTGTCGAGAGTTCATCCAACGACAGAGTTTCACTTACGCTTTTGTGCTGAAGGCCTGCGCCCGTTCCCATGCGCTCGAGACGGGGAAGGCCATCCATGGTCTCGCCGCAAAGAGTGGGCATGTCTCTCATATCTTTGTTGCCACCACAGCAATCCACGCCTACTCTACATGTGGCGACTTGAATTCCGCGGAGAAGGTGTTCGACGAAATGGATACTCGGAATGTTGTTTCTTGGAATGCTGTGATCTCAGGGTACGTGCAGAATGGCCTGCCGGATGATGGATTGAGGCTGTTTGGTTGGATGTGGTCGGAGGGTGTCAGACCCAATGATGTGACTCTGATTGGTGTGATCTCCGCATGCGCACAAAAAAAGGAGCTTGAGTTGGGGAGGTGGCTTCATACTTATGTTAATGAGAACTGGGACGAATTTCGGTCAAGTATCAACATTAGAACCGCTCTTATAGATATGTATGCAAAATGCAGGCAAATTGATTTGGCGAGGCAGGTCTTCAATGAGGCACAAAAGAGAGACATTGGTATGTGGAACGCACTTATTGGAGGGTATGTCTTTAATGGCCATTTCGAAGAAGCTTTGGAACTGTTCCAGAAAATAGAAGCCGGAGAATTGGAGCCGGACGAGCCAACATTGGTTAGCACACTGCGTGCATGTGCGCATCTTGGGGCATTGGACATCGGGGAGAGGATTCATTCATATGCCAAAGAGAAAGAGAAGCGGTTCATGTTCAACACAACTTTAGGTACTGCACTAATTGATATGTATTCAAAATGCGGGTGCATCACTAAGGCACGGGAAGTCTTCAACAGGATGCATTTACGTGATGTTATGGCATGGACGTCCATGATTTGGGGGCTTGCTATTCATGGGCACGCGATGGACGCACTTGATCTCTTCTTGTTAATGTTAGATTCGGGTCCAATGCCTGATGGAATCACCTTCATAGGTGTTCTATATGCTTGTAGTCATGCGGGATTGGTTGACCAAGGAATCCACTACTTTGAAGCCATGAGAAACAAGTACCACATTTCTCCAAAAATTGAGCATTACGGATGCATGATAGACCTCCTTGGCCGGGCAGGCCGGCTTGAAGAGGCATATGATCTCATTCTTAGAATGGAGATGCAACCTAATGCAATCATCTGGAGAGCACTTCTCAGTGCTTGCAGGTTGCATTTGAGTATCAAGTTCGCAGAGGTTGCCATTGAGAATCTTTTCAAATTGCAATGTGATCACTGCGGAGACTATGTGCTCCTCTCAAATATTTATGCTTCCCAAGGGAGGTGGGACAATGTGGAGAGGATAAGAAGAAAGATGGAAGAGGGGGGAATAAGAAAGCTACCAGGTTTGAGCTTCATTGAAACTAACAGTGAACCAACAACAGAGGCATGGATAGATTTGAGAGGTCACCTAATTGATCAAACTGGAAAACGGATGTGTGGATGCTATCAGTCTTAATTGGATACATACAGATGGCTCTCAGAATTGCATCTGATGAGTATGGTTCAAAGTTCAAATAGAGTTGCTTCCACTGGATACCCCACTACCTATCAATATTTTAAGCCTCCAAATATTGGAGCAAGTATCGGAGCTCTGACCCTTGACCAATGGGTTTATAGCCTTATAGCTTTTGCTTTAGTTAAGAATGAGGCAATCCCTTGAGTTGGAACTTCGGACTCATCTCCTCTATGAACAGCTGAGGCTTTGAATTGTTTAGAACTCTCTGTTTGCAGATTGCATTCCAATGTGTAGTTTAACACCTAGAAATTGCAGCCTGGTAATTTTCTGGATTTCGGGCTCCTCTCAAATGAACATGTTTTCAAGGGGAGCTGGCACATCATGGAAAAGAAAAGAAGCATCAGATGTCAGAGATTAAGCTTAAACAGAAACTTACTGGAAGCAGCAAAAATACTTGAGAATGGCTCAAAGTTAACAATCAAGATGATAGAGCAGTAGATGACCTGAATTCTGAAGACATCTGAGAGAATTGCTTCTGGTGGGTCCAGATTTCAAGATTAATAAATAAGATAGGTTTCTGGGAACTTTTAGTCCTTCAAATCTACAAAATCAGATTCTGTACTAGAGAGACTTTTTGGCCGGAGGATTAGTAGTTTTTCCAGCAAGTCAAATTCTCCCAGTAGATAGAGATGAAGTTGCCATTATCCTCCACTAGACACCCCTTTTTACCATATATATTCTTTAGGTTGTCCAGCATTTGTGTCAATTTGATCGTCCTGTATGGTAAACTTTAAGCAATTAGTGACAAGAAAATGATTGATGAATGTACAAAAAGTTGTGTTGAATCAAAGTATCTCCGTTTGCCAAGGCCAAAGTCTCTCTATCTCGAACAAAATCAGACCAAGAGTGGATGAAGTAGAATTTGATACCGAGTCTTGCGGAACTATTTAGCTGGTCACGTTTTTCATGGTGTTAGTGTGAAACTGTGACTCTGTGAGTTCTCTTCGCATTACCTGGGCTCTGCGTGTGTGCCTGAGGGGGAGGTGGGGAGGGGGTAAGAGAGTTTGTTCTCTTCTGACTTCTGAGTCCGGAGGAGATGCACTACTTTGATGGCTGTGTTTTGGGACTGTTTAACCATAATAATGTCCCACCGTAGCCGTAAGTGTACATGCCCCACAACCACTCCAATTTCTCTGAGTGGCTCACTATGGGGCGTTATTATTGGTAAAACAGCCTCCGACAGCCATCAAATGCAGCTCATCTGGTCTTATTTCAAAGGGGAATGATCTTCTAATAGAGCTTCAAGGAGAAATTTTAAGGCAGATGAGACTTGAGAGATGGGGATGGAAGGTACCAGCTGGTTTGCTGGTAAAGCCTATAACTGATCTAGGGGGCTTTTACCAATGCATATATGCTCCATTTCGGCCTGGTACGCAGAAGGAATACACCTTCGGGCTGGTTTTGGACCGTCAAGTGTCAACACCCGTGCCTGCTGGTCACATAGGGATAGGGTAGTGGAGAGAAGAGATGAAATGTAGAGAGGATGAACCTCGTTCACATGGCATTATGTAAATGTCACAAGAGGTTGAATTATGTGATTCTCCTTGTCACGTGAATCTAGCCTAGCTAATACAAGTATACAACTGTATTTACACACCTGTCCCATTACATGTATGATGTATGGTCTCATATACATGGGTATTTATGCACGTGTCCCATTACATGTATGATGTATGGTCTCATATACATGGGTATTTATGCACGTGTAATGAGATGCTTGTCACAGACTGAATAGAACGCTGCACCACATGTCCAAGTGCAGTAGATCCCCGACCCCTTTGAAATCACCTATCCCTATCCCCCACCCCCAACCCCACTGTCTCAAAAATTCTCTTTTTTATTTAGGAAATGTTCATTTTACGTGGGAAACACAATCTTCATATTCTCACAATCTCAATCGTCGGCATTCCTTTCTTCCATCAGTACTTTAAGCTCAGTTTGAAAGGAATACAAATACAACTATGTGTACAAATCTATACAAAACAATACAAAATATAAGGTTTTGCGCTTTACATATTTGTATTTACACTCCTTCCAAATGAAGCCTTAAGGCTCAGTATGAAAAGAGTACAACTGCAAATATATACAATGCAAATGCATACAAAATAATACAAAACATAAGATTTTGCACTATTTGCATTTGTACTCCTTCCAAACTGAGCCTAATTTTCTTGCAGAACTGCAAATCAGTTATTCCATCTCGGAATCAAGTGACAAGGGCTAGAACGACTACCTCCAACTTTTTTTTTCCATTTGTCTCTTGATTGGTTCCATAGCCCGTGTTTCGCAAATCATCAACCTTAGTATCTTATATTTCGGGGGTAAACAGTAAACTCTACCAAATTCTGATTCACATGGCCCCATTCTAGCTCACTGGCTCAGCTTCTCATACTAAAAAATACAGTCCTCTTTATCTCTTCGAATCATGCTCATCTCTATTTCCATTTTTATGTTCTAAAACAGGGTTTTATAAATATCCATGGGATTTGGTACTTCTTTTTTTTTCTCTGATGGGTGATTTTGGCATTTCAATTGAAAAACTTAAGTCGTGGGCTGAAGTGACAGCAATGCTTTCCTCAGCTCAGACTAATAAAGCAAGAAGCAACCACATTTAAGCGTAACGGACAAACCGCACAGATACAATGGGGAAAAATAAAGAAAGAATTGTGTTATTAGAGAAGTTGATAATGTACAGTTAAATGATTAATAAGTGACATCCCAACTACTTCTAGTATGATTTTTCTTGTACATGACAGATCTTGTAATCCATCTTCTATACAGAATTGTCTAACCTCAATATACCTGTTGGGGCTGCCATCCACAGTTTCCTCTTCAAACAACTGGAGACAGAAGAAACATAAAACCTATAACCATATAAAATCTTGAATATATACTGCAAGTATGCAAAACATCGCCTCATGCACCCGGACATGGGCAATCGTAAGGATACTCGGTACTCCAGTTTACCGTGTTCCATGCAGTCAACAGGCTACTAAGCAAGAGAGCAAAAAATCTGGCTGTCATATTCCCACGAACAAGAGCCAACAAAATGCTTGATTCTTGTTCGAAAGATGAGAAGCTTGCTGATCTTCTGAGGCCAACTTGCTTGGCTGTGTGTAATGCACAATATTCCCAAGTTCTCTGAACGTCATCAGGAAAGAAGAGCGAAAAAAAACTTATCAAAATCCCCATGCTAAGCTTGCTGTCATATTCCCAGGAACAAGAGCCAACAAAATGCTTGATTCTTGTCCGAATGATGAGAAGCTTGCTGATCTTCTGAGGCCAACTTGCTTGGCTGTGTGTAATGCACAATATTCCCAAGTTCTCTGAACGTCATCAGGAAAGAAGACCGAAAAAAAACTTATCAAAATCCCCATGCTAAGCCTGATGATAACTTGGAAAGCAATCAGTTTCTTGCAACACCATTTTTGATATCGAGTCAGTCCAATTAGCGATATATGCATCCTTTTTAGTCCGAAGTACTCATCAATGTAGTTCTCATTCCTCAAACTCCAACTTTCCATTTGATCCACCTGAGCTGATTGAGTAACTCAAGTCACCAGAGTTTAGCAGGATCTGTGCTTGATCTTGACTTATTAATCAAGCTTTCTTCTGGACAAAGCAGAAGAGGAGATTATTCTCCTGAATTTGTCCATCCAGCCCTGGGAGGGAGCATTAACAAAAAATAGAGATCAATTAACCTCGCTCAAATCTCCCCTGGGCGCCACAAAAACATGCAGACATCGTTGTCTCTGCCTATTACGAATCTCTCTTGCTGACTACCCCAGCAGAACTTTGTCTCTTCTGGATGCCATATTGCCAAGCATCTCGAGATTTATCTCCTGATTGATCTAAATCATCTAAGGAATTCTCTACTGACAGCTTGAAGTTTCGGTAACCACCATTCCTTGTTATTGGTAAATTGTTCAACTTCTCATCTTCCTCTGAAGGGGTGCCTGACTTGGACTCAGGATGCAAGTCAATGTGTCTATGCCTTGGTCCAGATGCTCTCAAATTCCTCGTGTTAGAAGAAGCCTTCCCCGGTAATGGAGTGTATGTAGGGCCTTTTGTGACCAGAAACTCCTTTGGAAGAGAATCCATATCAACATAACAGCTCCTCGCCCTCGCATCCGTGATCAATGCAGCCCAATCATCAGATTGCATCAGAGCATTGGCATTGCCCATGACCTGTTAGAACATCAAATTTAAAGAGTGAACATACACCAATTCATAGTTCATGCTTGTGTTTGTGTGTGTGCCAATAAAATAGAAGAAAGCCCATACCCATAGTGCTCTTCTTGCACGAGTTAAGGCAACATTCATTCGACGGATATCAGCAACAAAGCCCACACCATGATTTGAGGCACGGACACAAGACATGATTATGACATCACGCTCTTGACCTTGGAATGCATCCACGGTGTTGATATACAGGTCCTTCCCTTCTTCTGAATTCAAAACCTCTTCAAACTCACGTTGAAGGCATTTCAACTGCAGCTTGTATGGAGTTATTATACCAACAGAAACCTTGCCAACACCTAAAGACTTCAGTGTCTTCTGAAGATGCTCATATAAGCGGAGACAGAACTGTGCTTCATGGATGTTTTGGTAAGAGACTGATCCACCTCTATGGGATTCACGTCCATGTGTAATATCATAGAACAAGTAAGGTCTCAATAAAGGATCTTTATAGTAAATCTCATCAGGTAGATTGGAGACACTTTCACTGTCAGTCAGACGGCCTTGGTAGAAATACCTAGAAGGAAAATCACGGATTTGAGGATGCATCCTGTACTGTACAGATAATAACATTGGACAACCAGCTTGCTGGAACCTTTCAAAGAGACTTCTACTGTATAACAAGGTCCCAGCAGCCTTGCTTATAACTGTTGCTGGAAGCTGCTGAGGATCTCCTACAAGAACACAGCGAGCTGCACCAAGAGAAAGAGGAGGAAGAACTGCTACTTCACTAGCCTGGGCTGCTTCATCAATAACAACCATATCAAAACCATGAGTGAGACGAGAGAACAACTTGCGACCACTACTTGAGACTGTAGTAAAAACAATCTCGGCTTCATTGGCAAAACTAGCTTCAAGGTTTGCACGAGCTTCTTCCATGTTGAAACTGCTACCTGCACGAAACCTGCCTTCCAAGATGAGAAGGCGGGACATCTCAACCAAAATTTTGTCCCTTCCCTCCACAACTGCTGCAAGATTTTGGAGTAATGTATCACGATTATGGTCACGAGCAACAAGAACATCAGGGTCAACACCAACAGATCCCTGAGAACGACCTGCTGCAGCTGCAACATTAAGCTCTCTCTGAAGACAAGCAATCTGCTGTGATAATTGAGCTTCACGAGCCTTCAACTGGTGCATCCATCCAATAATTTCATCGCGGCCCTTCACTAAAAGCTGTTCAGTCCTTCGCTCAACAGAAACTGCCTGTGCAGCACGAGTCTGTGAATCAACACCAACTCGGGCCACATCGGGTCGATAGACTTTCATCTCACCATCAATGAATCCACGGTCTAGGACACGTGCTAGCAATTCATCAGTTGCTGCATTTGAAGGAGCACATACAAGCATTCTGGGTTTTGGACAGAGTTTTGGCAGAGTACGGAGTAGGTTCTGATCCATGCTTTGAAGAACTTCATCAATGGATCCTGTGCTGACACTTTCAGAATTGCTCTCATTAAATTGCTTATAGCTTTCTGGAGCCAGTTTCTTGAGCAATGCAGTGTAATAATGCTGATACTGAACAAGATGTATAACATTCAACATTCCCCACACAGTGTGTGTTTTCCCTGTTCCTGGAGGCCCTTGAACAAGCGTAAAAGGCCAAGGATCTTGCCTCTTTGTCATCCCACTACTGGTACCAGCAGCTGTATGCATTGCAGCCCGTTGAATGGCAGCCAATTGAGGACCATTGAAGGTCCTGTGTAGGTATTCTACAAAGTTCTGTGTGAAGCAGTCAGGCATGGCAGGTGGCTGTTCTTCATACTTTGGAAAGTGTTCTGGACTAGGGTTGAGGATTGCAGTTTGCATCTGTGCAAAGACCATAACATAACAAAGTTTCAAAAGGGTATTGTTCGCTCAAGACATTACAAACTTACAATAAAAACCCATCGTGCAGTAAATTGGATTTCATAAATACCTGTAAATTGAGACGCCGAAATGCATGTAGAGCAATATATTCACGCTGGGTAGTTGCAAGAGAACCAAGAACAGTAAGAAACCAGATGCCTTTTGGCTGTAACTTCCTCAGAATATGATCATCATCAACCTTGCTGAAACCAGAGAAAGAACTATTGTTGGAAGATGTTAAACAAAATCTTGCAACTAATTGACGGGGAGGCATATTGTCCTCAGATAATTAAGTGAGAAATAATTTCAGAGGAAGAATAACCACACAATTTGAACTGAGGATCTGAAAGTGACCTGCTAGTATCATATGTATCCCCAACATAAAAGTGAAGAATGGCTCCTGGAGGATCACGAGTATCAATGGGTATATATCGCCTAACGGTACCAGCAACACGCCCATTGACCTCAGGTTCCATATCATCCTCACTTACTCCAGAACTGTTCCTCTTAGATCTGGCTGCTTGATGATGTCCAAATTAACATTCAAATATCAAATATAAATACTATATAAAGCAAGCATATGGCCAGGGGAAAAGATCAGAACTCATATCAAACCTGTTCCAGGCCTGGGTGATGAAAGAACAGCAACATCGCCCTCCTTAAATGTCCACTTTGTCTCATGCATAGGAAGAACTATTACATCATACCATCCTAAAACCCACCAATATAATAGTTACATTTAACAAAACTAGGAGAATGATATTCAAAAATCTCAATTATAAACAGCTTAACAGATAGTTATAGCAATAAGCCAATAATTAATAACCAAGTACATCCATAAAGCATCGTAAAAGTAGACTTGGTTTTCAAAACAGGATTTATATGAGTACTTTAGCCCACTTAACTATCACCTGGCTTATTGACCACAACCTATAAAGAAGATAATTTAAAAACCAGTTCTGTTAAAACAGAATGCTTGTGCAAAGTTGTCAATAATCAATAATGAAATTTGAAGCTTGTGAAACAAAGAAGAAATGGATTAAATCAATTTTATAAAAATCAATTAAGGTGCTCTCAAAACACTATACCCTGTAAAAGAAAAGCTACCATGTACTTATCATTTGATCTAATTCAGACAGTAAGATAAGACATCAACAGAAGTGATGGAGATGACAAAGATAGGATATAAATCCCATAAAATAGATTGGTATGCAAACATGGAAAGATCAAGGCCCTGATACCAGTAAACATTAAATACCTCTTTCACGCCTTTCCATGTTTTTGATGCGGACCATTATGTGTGCATCTCTTGAAACTGTTTCAGTAAATTCCTCCCAAGTGCTGTACAGTTGTGCCCGACATTCCTCAAAAAGCAAAGGTTCAAAAACTCGAACATACTCTTCTACAGATTCAAACCGTCCAGGAACACACTGAAGTTCTGTTTCCTCTGATTAACAAACAACATTGTCATTATATACCGAGAGAGATGGACAACATAAAATGGCACCATAAATGAAAACAAACAATAACCCAATAAAAAGAAGAAATCTAGAGGAAGCAATAGAAATCTCAGATAAGGATTAAAGAGTGTAATGTGGGAGCCTCATATGCCACTATTGCAGGACCTCTTGTTATCAATATTTCATTGCCCTTCAAGTCAAAGCACATTCATAGATCATCTAAAAAAATCCTCATGAAGTTTTTCTTTTAATGGGATAGTTCAAAACAGATACACACATAGAAATTTGAAATACATGTGACTGATGCTCATAACAAGATTCCAGAAAAATACAATTTTGCAAGTGTTATTATTGAAACTGAATTATTGCTTTTTGAGTTACTTTTTTCCTTAGGAATCCTAAAGAAGTAATGAACAATCAAAAAAAATCTGAGAAGTTATGTAACTACATCTCTATTATGAAACCTTTAATTCAGCAGTCAACGCAGACACTAAAAATAATTGGAGGACCACCTACAACTGATGAAGTTTTGGGAATGGCTTGTATCCTTTTGAGTTCAATTGTAGCCCTCCAACTGATGTGGAATCCCTATTTAAGGTCTCTTTGTTGAGATGTATTACGACAGCAGTTATTGGACAATATGGGAAGAAAAGAATAAATGAATTTTCAATGGAAAGGCACACTCTAAAGCAATCATTGAAAACATCTTAGTGAAAGTGATGCATTGGTCGAAACTTTAAATATGGTTGATCCTTTCACCATGGATGACATCCTTCAAGGAAGAAATTAGGTGGTTCGTTCTCAACATTCAGGTCTTCAGTCTCATTGGAATGGTGGCCCATCAATTGTTGATCAATCTAATTAAATATTATTGATAGAAACATGGGATGGGAAACCCTAAATTTTAAAATCTCATAGAGACCTGCATGCCAATGGTGACCCTACAAAGACCAAGTTGATAGAAGTATTACTAGGATTAAGGTTGGGAAGGTCACTAAATGTTGGAAACATAATGATAGAATAGGATTCTAGAGTGGTCATTGGTTGGCTAAAGAAATTAGGGGGTTCGTTCTCAACATTCAGGTCTTCAGTCTCATTGGAATGGTGGCCCATCAATTGTTGACCAGTCTAATTAAATATTATTGATAGAAACATGGGATGGGAAACGCTAAATTTTAAAATCTCATAGAGACCTGCATGCCAATGGTGACCCTACAAAGACCAAGTTGATAGAAGTATTACTAGGATTAAGGTTGGGAAGGTCACTAAATGTTGGAAACATAATGATAGAATAGGATTCTAGAGTGGTCATTGGTTGGCTAAAGAACAGCAATCAATGTTAGTTGCAACGTTGGAACATTATGAAGGATATAAGAGTGTTGGGGAAATGGAGCCAGTTACTTTTTGGACCATAGATCAGCAAACTGTTTGGGTAACATCTTTAGAGACTGTAATGTAAACAGCAGTCAATGTTAGTGGCAACATTGGAACATTATGAAGGATATAAGAGTGTTAGGGAAATGGAGCCAGTTTATTTTTGGACCACAGATCAGCAAACTGTTTGGGTAACATCTTTAGACTGTCAATGTAAACAGTAAAGAAAAGCTTAGATGGTTTGTGCCAGCCCAGCCTATTTAAGGGATGCTTGGCATGCTTGTAATTTATTCATTCTTCTTATCATGTAATAAAGGTCAACAGTTTACAATCAAAAGAAAATAATTGGTGTACCACCAAATAAAGCTGCAGAAGATCCTTTTGCCATGCATGATGGAGAGTTATCCACACCTCATTTCTCACAAACTTATGAACCAAAATACAAAATAAATTTCAGGACCTGCTCTAACAGCTTTTGGCAATCACAACAGTAGTTCATTAAGTGGTATGAATTTGTAAATTGTTTGTTGGATTTGGACGCTCCCAAATCATCTCAATCATTTAAACTATACTAGAAGCAGATGGATGTGATGCTAACAATATGTCAATATATCTAACCATGCAACCCTTCAATAACTGAGTTAAACAACCTTTTCACCAGAGTAGTAAGGGAATATTAGCCAAGAGGAAAATACAGAAAGAAGACGAATGGATAGTGTAAACATCTTCAACTTCCAAGTAAAATTTACTTTTATATTTACTCTCATCCAAAGGAACCCCACTTTTGTCTTTCCATCTTTCACAAAATTAGTTGGCAGAACTCGTGCAGAAAAGGCATTTTTTTATCAAAATTGCAGAAAAGGCAGTTTTGGTTGTCTCACATAGCCAGGACAAAAGAAGAGCAGGATAATATCATAGAGGTGGTTGCAATTTAAAGCTTTACATAACTGCACAAGGCTCCAAAAGAAAAAGATCAGCATGGAGAGTAAAATTCTGCTTCTCAAATTAACAAACCAAGCACCAAAGTGCATGTTAATCCACCAAAGAGACCAAAAAGGATACAAGCAAGATCTAGGATAAAATAAGTGAAACAGTCAATAGCTAGCAGCTTCAACATGCAAAGGACTAGAAATATCAAACCTGGATTATGCCAGAATTTATCATTGGTAACCTCACGCAAAAGGCGTTCAACAGATGTATCTTGATACTGTGTACTGTTTGTAGTTTGTTTTTTGACAGGAAGATGTTTCTTGTTGCTTAATTTTTGATCCACTGATACTTGATTGACCATTGGCTGTTTCCTACTTGAGACTTGTGGATTCTTGAGTTGTCTGGAATCCATGGACTGTTTCCATGAACCCTGTCTAGGAACGGATGGTGGGTATATATCTGCAGGGGTGTCATTGCCACTGTTTAACCTCTTAAACTTAGGTCCTGGATTTATATCACCATTAGATTCAAATTTATGATCACTGTATTCCATTGGAGTGCCACCTTCATTACATGATGTATCTCCCTGTTTTGGATCTTTTGCTAGGCCCTGTCTATCTCCACTGCGTTCAGCTGGGGAAGGAATATTACGAATTTCCTTCACTGTCCGAGTAGTTATGGGTCCTGAAAAGGTTTGCCTTCTTGGAGTGGAAGTTTTAATAGGGCCAGCTTGTTTGACATCCTCCAAATTAAGAAACACTGTCTGTCTGTTACGCTTCTTTCCTAGCATTGCCTCCTTTTGTTGGTCAAGCTTATTTCTCTTTCCAGGATTATTGGCACATCTTAGTGCATGACTTGCTTCAACTCCTTTAACTTCTCTTTTATTCACAACAACTGAAGATTCCTCCTGTCCATCCATTGCTACATCTACTTTTGAATTGCCCTCAGACTGTCGGCTATTGTTGCACGTCCCATCAGATGGCTCTGGTTCCAACCCTAAAGAAGCCTGACCACGACTCCCATCCTTGGTATTGTCCGCAACATCATCCTTCGTACCCCCAGCAACTCTAACATCATTAGAGATATTTTCAGCAGTCTTTGCAGAAGTAGAAAAAACATCTCTCTCAGCCATTTCTTGCTTTTGTGCAGCTAATCCATTATCATTAATTGATTGATCATGCTTACCGCTGTTTGTATTACTTTGAAGTGCCTCAGCAGAACCCTCAGCATCCGACCATTCCCCTTCCTCTCTTTCAATGGCTGGAGCATCTGCTGGAAGGCCAAGAGGCTGTGGTGGTGCTGCTTTATTTTCCTCAATATGACCCACCTTAGAGGATGAAGAAACTTTGAATTCCAAATCATCCTTCTGTTTAACACACTCCTCAGTACTATGCACATCTTTAGGCCTAACAAAGGGCTGGAAGCCTGAAAGAGAAGATGCATGCGAGAACGCATGGTTATTTATTATTCTTTGAGAACCTTCTGATGATGCAAACAAATCAGGCTTTCTAGGATTTGAAGATGGAAGTGCCTTTTGAGGCTGTAAGCAGAGGACACCATCATTCTCTTCGTCCTCTTCAGCAGGGGGTTCATTAAGATCAAAGAATGGTCTTCCTCGACACCCCATCTCATATGTAAATGCATACAAATTAAACTGTATTTCCAAACAGCGCTATGTGGTGCTCTTGCAGATTTTCTTTTAGAGGGTAATGCACATGACATGCCAAAAGTGCAGATAAATTAAGACTAGTATTCAGAATTGTAAAATCTCCAAATGACTTCCAGAAGTGTGATGGACTCTGCATATTAAATTCAAAAAATATATATAATTAAGCTTAAGGATATCAACAAAAACTATTACAGAAAATTATATCATATCAGATGGCAGTAATCAGCATTACCAGTGCATACTTGTAAGACAACCCAGCATCCATAATAGGTTACTTAGCCGAATAGCTTTCATCAAATTTCCTTTATCCAAGGAAACAACATTTTAAGGGAACTATAAAGCCTTTAACTTATTAGAAATCTGTAATGGTGAGAAATAATCATAGTTAAGATGCTATTTTTTACAAGGGATGGAACAAGTAGTAGAAAGTTCATTTAACCACGCTAGTTTATCATATTCTTGTATTTGCATAAGTAGATAGCTTCTTAAGGTATACAGATAAATGACAGAGCATTCCAAATGCATATGAAATAATATTGTAACATAGAGCTATACTATCAGACTAAAATCAAGCATCTTCCTTCATCTACAACATGCAGATGAATTAAGAAGCATTGGAGAATAAATCAAAAAATGCCTAATCATAGAGATTGTTAAATTTAAAATTTTATATGCTTGGAAAGTTATAGAATAAAACAAATATTTAGAATAAAATAACAATGTTATAGGCTTAAAGAACAATGGTACCGATAAACACCAGCAGATCAAAGCATATTTTAAGCCAAAAAAATATGGATGCAGGACACAATGGCAAACTCTATCTTTTACCATACTTCAGTGAAGATGATTTCCTATCACAAAATTGTGTCACCGCCTCAAGGACAGACTCAAGGAACCAATCCAGCCCATAAGAAAAGTTTGAAGTCATTCCTAGATGGAGCAAATACCCTAACAAAGCACAGGGAATGGATAATTAAACAAAATTGCATATTAACAAACCTAAAATAGGAACAGAATCGGCCTAGAACTTCACATCCCCATGCAATCTACCTAATGAACAAACCTAATAACGTAAAAAGAAATCATGTATAAATAACCCCAAACACATGACTTCAGCAGAAACAACATTGTATTATTTGCATTCAGATCAGAAGGAACAACGGATCACCAAACTAGGCCCAAAGATAAACTGCATCATGTATGGACGTCCTCATTGGCGTCGACGCAGGACTGACTAACACTTGACGGTAAAGAAACTAGCATCTTCAATTAACCTAAGAAAGCCATCCAATGATTCCGAGCAGATCAAACCCGAGGGCCTCACAAAATAAAGATTCTAAACACCTCCCCGTGACCATTCTAAAGGTGAAACAGCATTTTCTTAGGGTTCCATGGAAGGGAATATTAAGTAATAATACTCTATTCAGTCGCTAATCCTTCTTCAAAAAGTGCAAATCCTCAAATCAATCAACGAATTCATCACATATACAAGTTATCCAATCCGTTGAATTATGAGCAAAGGAAAATAAAAAATTAATAATACTATTTCGATCTCTTTCTGCGCTACCGATCTTAAAGCTCTCCTCAACCAAGAAATATCTTGTAAAAAGGAAACAAAAAATAAATAATAAATAAAAGATTCCAATAAATAGACGGAATCTTACCACTGAGGAGCTCCGGATCTAGAAAGAGAGATTAGAGAGACCAAGCGGGCGAGGGGGCAAGCGAACGGAGAGAATGAGTGCAAATATGCGAGGAGAGGAGGCTAGTGACGGGTTTATATAGGAAATATCGAACCCAACTGGCCGGACGGAAAAACTATCCGGTCGCCGTTAAAAATTTTCCCGTCTAAAATAGATAATTTGGTTTCCGTTAATTTATTATTTCTTGAATTGTTTATCCTTTTTATCTATGCAATAAATAGGAGATAAAGTTACCATAAAATCCCTTCTTCTATAACCATTTACATGAATTGCCCTGCCGATTTGAATTGACGAAATTAACTATAATCTTTGGATAGACTGTAGATAAAGAGAAAAGGATATTGGTGTCATTTCATAGATAAGTTTAGGAGTTCGGAGTCTTATTATAGGTTAAACTCGCGCCGGAGTCACCGCATAGTTGACGGGTATAAAGAAGTTCTTGTACGTGTCACGCAGAGCGAAGGAATGGGTACATCTCTGTTCAATGCCAGAAAAGCAGCTTGGTTGGAATATTTTGACCGTCCGATCATTGAAGCTGATGCATAATGATGCAACGGTTTCTTTGACATCGATGGACTACAATAGGAAATGTAATTACTGGTGTATTGCATCATTACCGGAATAAAAAATTCCAAACGCAGGGATTTAAGTACAGTTGTCGTCCGTCACAAATCTATTTACCGAAGGAGTGTAAAATGGACACATGCCAGAATACCCCGAACCCTAAACCAAGAACGGCGAGGGAAGGTTGAAACGGTCGTACAAGTTTTCAAGCAATGTTCGTAGTAACACTTGCAGAGAGAGGGTAATTTGTGAAAAACTGTCGAGCGTCTGATCGATCTACTTCAGATTGGGGCTCGGTGTTAGGTGGGCTCCAGTAAAAAATACACGTGGCTTCTTTTAGAGTAAAAATAATGGAATATTTTACCAAAGACCGTGGAAACTTGATATGATTCATCATCATTGAGAGCTTTCCTTTCACCCATAACTCACGCAGCCCGCAAGTGGACTATGCTTTTATTTCTTGCAGGCGAAAACCCGGATCAGACCGGATGAGCCGGATTATGTGGTCTAGCACTCAAATTTCTTTTTCTGTCTTGCTTACCTAACTTCTAAAAATAGCCACGTGAACATCGAACATAGTTGGATTAAAGTTATCTAACATCTAAGAAGGGATCTTCCGTATTTGGCAACGTACAAATTTTTTACAAAGCAAAAACCTTGTACTAACAATATGGTTTATCCGTAACCAAAAAAACAATAATATGGTTTTGCTTATACAACAGTAATATAAAAGGAGAATTTGATTTTGATGATGTGATAGTTGCTTTTTATTTTAAAAAAACAAAGCATACATAGGGATGTCAATGTATCGGGTTTGGTGTAGGATTGATTCACTTAATCTAAACCCCAACAAAACCGGTGTAAGAGTCCCTAGATACAGGTATCGGCATGTATTGGTGATTTTTGTATGTTTTATTTTATTTTTTTCCAAAATCAGTTTAGAAAGATCAGTTTAAGTTCCTGACCTGATACACCTCTTCTAGGGGCGTATTGGGAAGGCCCCGATACGTACTGATATTTTTAACCCAGACTAAATCTAAACTTGAACAAAACCCTACTAAGACGGTGTTTGGTACTGCAACTACTTTCCAATTTCTTGTATTAAGATGCATCACAACAAATATGTATTCTTTTAAGTCGTGGCATGTTCTGAAATTGGTTGATTTTGGCTATGGAACAAACCAAAACTTTGGGGTTTGACGACCCATTTTGCAATGTGGCAACTTATCGACCAGTATCATATCGATGGGTCACTGATATGCAAAATTTTGGGGTTTGACCCATTTTAGGGGTAGACAAAACTTAGAAACAACCTTGTGACTAGCTTTTGAAAAACAAAAAAAATGTGGGTCAAAATATTTATTGATATTTGGAAAATTGGTTCCAAAACACAGCACAGTTTGAGACACTCAATAAACATTGATTTGGTTTATTTTAACAATAATATTTATATTTCAAATCCCAATATTTTGGAACTCACAACATCACAACAATACACAATATTATCAAAAATTATAATGAATTTCAAAACCTACCATTTCAAATACACCAAAGGGCCCAATAATTTAAAACACACCACACATTTTGTAGCCACACTAGCACCTTTTATATAGAGAGTAAAAAATTAAACTTGTCTAAATAGAGAGTAAAAAGTTAGCCTATATATGTAGATAATATAATGTTGCAGTGTCATTGGTTTAGGTTTAGCATAGGCCCACTTTAACTCAAACTTGACCTAAAACCAAATCAAGGCTGGCCTAACCCTTTCCATTCATATTTACCACTTAACCCACTAGCATCCCTATTGGCTATATCCCTTATATGTTATATTGTCTAAAACAAGCCTTTCCAATTAGCTAGTTCGAAAAAGCTAGATAGTAGGGGTGTGCAACTAGAGGTGTCAATTGGTTGGATTTGGTCCAACCCGATCCAATCTAATGTGAGTTCACTTACAAATGGGTTGGACCCAATCCAGTCCAAATTTAATATAAACCAAATCCAATCCAATTCATTAAAATGTAAATTCAATCCAAACTGAATGAAATATAAAAAATTATATATATAAAAAAACAGGACATATAAAAATTACAAAAATATATTAAAATAAAGAAATTTGAAAATTATAAAAATACCCTTTTGGCATTGTGCTTTTATAAAAATACTTTGATAAAAGTACTTTCATATGCTTTTATAAAAGTACTTTCATATGCTTTTATAAAAGTACTTTCGTATAAGTGCTTTTGTACAAATACTTTTGCATAAGTGCTTTTGTAAAAATACTTTCGTAAAAGTACTTTTGTATAAGTGCTTTTATAAAAGTACTCTTATAAAAGTTATTTCACAAAAGTGCTTTTGTAAAAGTACTTTCATAAAAAGTGCTTTTATAAAAGTACTTTCATAAAAGTGTTTTCATAAAAATGTTTTTACAAAAGTACTTCCACAAAAGTGCTTTTACAAAATTGATTCTGTAAAAGTGCTTTTATAAAAGCACTTTTATGAAAATGCTTTCGTAAAAGTACTTTTTTACATAAAATTACTTTTATAGAAGTGTTTTTGTAAAAGTACTTTCATAAAAGTGATTTTATGGCAACTTCAGTTTTGATCGGTTTCAAATTGGACAAGGGTTTGGCCTTATGATTGGATTATTAGAAATTTGGTTTAGGCCTAATTCAGACCTATAAGAATATGGACCAATATATTTTGGATTGGCCCAACCCAATAATTATACGGACTGTTCAAATCCAATTTGATAAGGTTTGGATTGGATTGGATGCAACCCAAAATCGGCCAATTGACACCCCTATGTGCAACTTGGGTGAGCCCAACCCAAACCCGAACCAACCTAGCCTACATTTTTACTTAGGCTAAGCTTAGATTTCTAATCCGTAATACCCATAAAATAGAAAAGAAAAAAGCAACCAAGGATAGTAATAGGAGAAGTGGGTAGTGATGGTTATAGGAGGGGGTTGTTTGTAATTGTTTTATTAGGGGACTATTTAGGCCCTGTTTGAGAACACTTTTAATAAGTACTTCTTTTAAGACATGGGACCACACATTAAGTGGTTTTTAAGTACTTATGGGTGTTTGGTAAAAAAGTGGGGAAAAAGTACTTTTTCTTTCTTTGAAAAAGTGACTTCAAGTTGGCTTTTTTTTAAGTACTTCTTGAAGAAGTACTTCTCCAGAATATTAGGACGAACCAGTCCTTGACAAATTTGTATAATGACTAAAATACCCCCACGAGGTTATACCTCCCCCTTCTCCACTCATTCAATCCTCAAACCCTAGTAGCAACAACGCACCAGCTGCAGGTCCACCGGCGATGATCGGTAGTGAGGAACCGTGGCCGGTAGACCTGTCGTTTGGCCTCTCTATGCTTTGAAGTCAGATCTCTGAAACATAGCTCGTAGCGTGATCTTAGATCTCTGAAACAGAGCTCGATCTAATCGCCGCCGCCATTCGGGTGTCGAAGAACCAAAAGAGAGACGTCCAACCGCCGTTGGTTCTCTTTTGGAGAGGAAGATGAACAATGTCTTGTTCATGGTTCAGTGGTTATAGAAGAACAAAAACAAAGGAGGAGGAGAAGAAGAAAAGGAGAGAGAGAGAGAGAGAGAGACTAAGGAGAGGTTGTCAACGCTCTCTATCGCTCGAAAGGAGAATAAGGGAGTTGTAGCGGTGGCAACCTTCCCCTTGTTCATCGTCTTATTGTTATTATTATTACTGTTAATTTTAGTTATGTATTATTATTTATTATTATTATTATTATTATTATGATTATTGTTAATATTAGTTATTATTATTATTATTTATATTATTATTATGATTATTTATTATTATTATTATTATTATGATTATTTATTATTATTGAAAAGTATTGTATATATGTATGAGATAAGTGAGGGCTAAAATTGTTATTTGAATAAATATAAGCACTTATGGGAAAAGTAGTTTACCAAACATTCCCACTCCAATAAGTAATTAAAAACATAATAAGTGATTTGAAAAAGTGGGTTACCAAACAGCCTAAAGGGTTGTTAAAACAAGTACTTCTAAGAAGTATAAGTACTTTTAACAAGTACTTAATCATCAAACATGGCCTTAATAGAAATAAAAAAGTATTAATAAGGGACAAAGAAACCTAATATTTTTTGGGGGTTTTATAGTTCAGTCCACCCTAGGGTGGAAGCTAATCAAAGAAACTTTTTTTTTTTTTTTTTTTACTTTTATCTTCTCTCTTTTCAAACGTTAGATTAGGTGGAGACAATCCAACTTTCAAGAATCAAGGTGGGGTTTAATCTCATTGATTCTTTGGCACGAAGTCATTCTTTAAGGTAAGTCTTTTCCTCATTTAATTTTTTGTTTTTTATTTTCTTGCTTATTACACTTAGAATTAAGGTTTTCCATCATACATGTAGAAACCCTACATCATTTGGATTTCAATAAATCCAACATTGTGTCTTTTAGATTTTTAAAATGAAAGTTATATTAAAATTTGGATTGAAACATA